CGTAAAAGATAAATAGAACATGGGCTTTTACGTTTCACTATTTTATCTTTTTCTTAAAGGGGTAAGATCATGCTTGTCTTCCTTAAACTGTGCATAAACAACATCGACTGATTCTAACATGAGAAATCACTGTTTGAGATACTCTGGAGAGATTCAGAGATATTTCATTCTTGGAGACATTCAAGAGCCATGGACATGATCCTGGACAACTGGCTCCAGGTGGTCCTGGTTGAGCAGGGGAGTTGGACCAGATGACCTCCAGAAGTCCCTTCCAACCTCAGCCATTCTGTGATTCTATGATTCTTTATGGTTTTCAGAAATATTTCCTACTAGATCAAAGATGGCTTTCTTATTTACTGATTATTTATTTACCGATTACTCCCCTTCCAAATTAAAAAAACAGTGAGTATGGGGTTTTTTCCTATTGGTTATAGCTAGATACCATTATTTCTTGGATTCCCTCCAACTGACTTGGATTGGTTACCAAATAGTTTTGGTTAATGTTGACTTACTACGGTTTTCTGACCTTAGAATGTCCACTGAATTCAAAAGCATTATAATTTTGTTTCTTCCCCTCTGATTTGAATTATACACCTGGCCTTAACAAGGATTCAAACATTACTAACAAAATGTTGGTTATCTCTGTTTAAAGGCTATATGCGATTATGAAAAAGTACTTATCTCACAGTAGAACACATTGTGTCATCAAATGCTGCTACCATGTGTAAACTGAAATGCATGTTTTCAATATGCACTCTAATCCCTAACTGTTCATATAAAGGATGTAAATTTCTTCACAAAGCAGACAGACTTCACACCTGCTTTGCAGCAAGCACTTGCTGATTTAGTTTGCAATTTTTCCACTAAAAACACTCATAATTCACTGTTTTCCATCTCCTGATATCTAGTTTTCCATCCTCAGAAGACGGGGGGTGAAGAGAAGTATATTCATGAGCAAGATCCGTAGCTATACAAGAGGTTTTTAAAGGCAACCAGGCCAGAAGGGGAAATACATCTGTAACAGCATGAAACTTTTCTTATTGATGCTCAGCTGAGGAAGAAGGATGACAGCAATAAAGATGAGAGACTTTGCAATTGAAGAAAACAAAAGAGCACAAGTGAAATGCAGTATATTTCTGTATGTTGCTCCATAAACCAAACTCTCCCCTCAACAGTTGACTTGATAGATCAAAATCCACTTCAATAACACACAGCTGATTGTAGAAGCAAATGAAACCCAGGTTTCCCACATGGAAAACAGTATACTTAAATCACCAAGCTCCAACTCACTTAGACCATAATTATGACAATACTCTTCTCCAGTCTCTCAAAACTCTTAAGATACTTTTTACACTGAGCATGAAGTCACTCTCGGTTTCTCAGGATCTGCTGCAGCACAGAATTACTTGCATATTGTCTCGATGGGGCTTGGGAGGAGGGCTCAAATATAAGGAAGTTCAGTTTTAATCACTAGGAGGACTGAACATAGGAAAGACCAGACATCCAAGTGCCTGAGCCTCACCTTCCAAAGCTTTCAGGCACTTCTAATTTTGTTTGAAGTGCACAGGTTTGTCTCAGTGCAGATATCTAGACTGCATAGTGAATGAAGCAATAGCAACCAGAGTTTAATTCACAGGCTGTATCTGCTGCATATCAGGCAATGAAGTTCAAGAAACTCACTACAAGATCCAAAGCTTATCTTTAAAAATGGAAACTAATTCCAAGACTTGATCGAAAATTCACTTAACTTCAAACATCTGGTTTTATGTGGCACTCTTCCCTGTTAAAATCCTGAAGAATTGTATGAGAGGATGCTGTAAAAAGCTATTGATATTACATTGTGATCATTTGCATACTCAAATATTTGTTGAACTTGGTGCTTGTCCCATACTGCTTTGAAACAAGATCAGTATCAAATGTAGCATTAGTCATAAACTTTATGGATGTGCTTATAAAATCAAAAGCACTGACTAGCCTGGCCAAAAGAAGCATTAACACTGGAGAAGGCAGCTACAGGCTGCCTTCTTTTGTAAAATTCACCACACGGGATGCTTGTTTGGGTACAGCACAGGATGAGTTTCATGTGTCTTATACTTTCAAAGCTCTAGATGCATCTATTCCTTGAACACCTCCAAAATATTTTCTATGTACAATCTGTATTCTACTTTTGGGATAACAATAAAACCACATTTATTTTTTAAATTACATATTTTCTTTTTTTTTTCAAACTTTTCACATTTTTCAGTTTGAATTTTTATATCATCCTAACACACTATAAATCGCAGCACAGAACAGATTCATTTCCTAAAATGCTCTAAAAATCAGGAGTACAAAAACTGGAAACAAGGACATCCATCTTAGAATTAATGTGATGTAAGTGTTTAAATGATACAACCAAAAAGACTAAAGTGCAAAATGAGTAACAACTATCAAAGAACAAAAAAAAAAAAGGCAGAAGAGAAGATACTATAAATACACTAGGAAAGGGGGACAAAGTAAAATTCAGAACAATTACATCAATGAGAAGGAAAGCAAATAACAGATGATACAAAGAAATCCCAGTATTCAATACCTTCACTGCTTCACTCTTTAAAAAAAAAAAAAAAAAAAAAATTAATTGTGGCCAGATGCTTAATGCTAGTGATTTTAAGAGGAAAAACTGCAAACCTGATGACAGAGAGCTGAAAGATATTCTGATGAATTAGATACATTCAAGTTGGCAGAGTCTTGTGAAATTAATTCTAGAGCACTTATCTAACTGGCTGAAGAAACCTCTAATCCATTAGCAACTGTCTTTAAGGAATGGAGAGAAAAAAAAAGGGCCAATACCATGTCTTTCTTCAGAAAAGAAAAAGGGAAGACATGGGAAACTACTAACCACCAAGCCTAAATCTGACAGCAGCAAGAATATTTGACAAAATTGTTAAACAAACAATTTATCAACATCTAATGAATAAGAAAGGTGATGAGAACCAGCCTAAATGAATTTATCAAGAATGAATCACATTAAATCAGTCTAATTGCTTTCAGTTGGGAAACTTTCCTAGTGGATAAGAGGAGGAACTAGACGTAAAATACTTCAGCTATAATAAGACTTTGTTTACTGTTCTAGATGATACTCCAGTAAACAAATAAGAGAACTACATTCTAGGTGAAATCACTGCGAGGTAGATAAACATCTGGTGGGAAAAAACACACTTACTGTGTAGCTTTCAAGAGCTGGTTGTCAGATCTGAAATGGAATCATGAAGAGGTCTGACAATATTTCCGTTAATGATCTGGATGAAGAAATAGCACATTCATGAAAGTGAACTTAGTATCAAGCTGCAAGTGACTTAAAGCACTCTGGGGATAAGATTAAAATTCCGTATTATCTTGATAAATCATCAGAAAACATCAAGTACTAGCAAGAAATAGTGAAGAATGTTTCATCTGTGAAATAAGTCTATGAAAAACTGGCTCCAGAAACACTGACCAGGTACATACACTTCCAGTCCAAGTGTAGGACCCAGAAGAGCTGCCGTGTTTTGCACTCCGGTTAGAAAACTCTGTGGCAAAGAGAGGTACAGAATGCTGCAAACTGTATTTTAAGTATAAGGAAGCCAGAGCTCTGTGGAACCTACACAGTATCCACAAGCAAAGACAAAGATGTAAGACTGAAGAGTGGATTTAGTCCTTTATTACTGAACTCTCACATCTGATTGGTTTGTATGTCCACACAGTGAATAAATAACTCTTTCTGAAATTGAAAAAAAAAAAATGTTTCTGTATCTGTGTTAAACTCCTAAAGCCTCTAAAGGAGAAAGGCTTGAAAATGACCCTTGCACCCATCATAGTAACATGGTCAGGCAATAGTGGGGTTGCAAATCAGAAACCCTGATCAGAGGTGGTTTAGCTCCTTAGAGGCAGATAGACCAATTTACTAGAAATGTATTTGCAAAGAGCCCTGTATTTATACTACTGTAATTCATATAAATATAAAACTTTCGCAGAATACAATTATTGTGATCAGCCTTAAATATTTGGGAGAGGGAATTTGGGCAAACTTGTTCTGGGTATTTGACACAATTTGGAAAAATGCTGAAGCTCAAAATGCTCCACAAAACAGATCTTCCATTCCTCATTCACTACTGTTTCTGACCTCACCATCTCCAATTTCTCCAGTGAATCAAGAAGTGCCATGGATAAAATTTAATGAGAGGGGAAAGAAATAATTTCTCATTCAAACATCTCCCAGACCACACCATACTTCATTTTCATGTACCATGGCAGAGAATACTTTTCATACTTTGATAATTGTTAGTAGTGTTTTCTCCCATCAGTGTACCTCAGAATTCTCTTCTACAGGGGAAAAAAAAAAAAGAAAAAAGTTATTCCTCATCATATCCAGTAATTCTCAAGAGTTACTCCTTACATAAGCATGCTATTTTTAAACACTGCTCCTGTTTGACTACGTCTTTTAAGCGACAATATTTGGATTTTGTTATGAAATAATTGCCTACCATGTTTTTGAGTATTTACTTGAGATACTTTATTTATTTGAATTGCTTTTGAAAACTGGAAGGAATTAATTGGGGTCAAGGATACAAAAAACCTGGTTGTTTTTCAATGATAGATCTGATCTCCATCAATGACATTAAGGTTTCACAAGGGTTAATCCAATCTAACTGCTACCACCCAAAGGAGCAGTCTCATTGCTGCATGTTCCCACCATTTTCCTTAAACCCGCCTCATGCTGATCTCTTCATGAGCTAATTCAGCTCACTAAACTGGCAGAAGACTAATGTAACAAAAAAGGAGATGCAGGGGAAGTAGTTTCAGTCAGCAGGAGAGCTGCTAAATTATCTCAGACATTCTGTAAACCTCATCAACAGGAACGTAACTGCTGATGTCAATTACCTTGGTCTTCATTGAATAGAAGACCACCTTTTTGATATATACTTCCAAATTACAGTTCAGGCTGCATGATTACATTTAAAAACTAAAATCAATCAACTTACTGCGAGACAGATTCTCAAGGGCTTTTCCAAGTTTTTTGCTCTCTTGAAGAATATGATTTAGTTCATCAAAATCATGGTTCTCCGGTTTTGTCCTCCAATCCCATTTAGGATGCTCTATTGACCTTGGCACTAAATATACACAGATATATAGATGAAGTTTAGATTTGGTAGTTTGGACCCCTACGGTAAAAAAAAAAAGCTGCACAATGAGTTTACAAGCTCCAGTACCTTGAGTGGAAATTACTTAACTATCCTCCTATTTTAGCAGCTGGTAATATTTTCTTTGGTCATTGTGAAGTAAAAATTAAAACACCTATGAACAAATCCATACTTGGGATGATTCTTGCAACTGAATTAATTAATAAGCAGGAATAATTAATATTAACAATTTACAATATTAAAATAATGCAATAACAGAAAAATGTAATAAAAATATTGCATATGAAGGTACTTAATTACATCAAAGTAGAACTGTTTGTCCTAGGAACCAATAAGGAAAAAAATGCCCAAATGAAAATGAGTAACTTGTACTTTTGGCTTTGATAGTCATTTTATCAAAAAGAAAAAAAGAAATATTTTAGATAAAGCTTTTAAAACAACACATATATACAATTTTTTAAAAAATAAATCATAAAGTGCAGGTAACAGTTCATAAAAATAGTCAAACAAAGTATGTCCCTGTTGCTCATGCTGTACAACCTATAATCTTTATTCTAATATTTAAATTAAACAAACTCAATCTGTGGGAAGCACAGTCCCGAGCTTATAATCTCCTACTCATTATCTATCATCAAAACCTTTGATTTAATTTTAAAATAATAGTGTCTCAACTGCTGAGCTAACTTTACATACAGTAGCAGGGAAGAAGAGAAGAAGTTTCTCATATACATAGGGGACACAATGAACAGAGCTGCATTGATCAATATGAACATTTTTAAAAATTTGTAGAAATTAAAAGAAATACTATGCTGTCTCTGGAACTACAACTTAACATGTTCTTTCAACTAAGAGATCTGCTGCCTTTGCCACCAAATGCAGTTGCTGGGTTGTCTCAAAACACGGCATTACTGTGCTGAGAACCGCGCATGCCGGTGTGAAGATGATGATACCTAGTCCACATTCCCAACAGAAAGAACCAGTTGCATTTATCAACGGTTGCTAAATACTCACTTAAAAATAACTTCAGAAACAAAGCCTATAATGTCCAATATATCCTGGACAGCTTTGAAATTTTTACTATTTTGACAGCTGTCAACTAATTTATGATTACAAACTTCTATCTTCAAACTATCTTCAAAGTGGACATCTCCACAGAGACTGACCATCCTGAGTATATTCTGATCTGTAACACCCACTCAGGAGCCTGTGTAAGTATTATGGAAGTTAATACATTAAACTGCAATTACAGACATTCTCAAAGACAGAAGACAAAGGAGACATTAAAAATGACCTACAGAGATAAGAGTAGGAGGAAAGAGACACAAGAATTCTAAATAAGGAGGAGGAAAGACAGGGGCAACTTGGAGTGTTGCAGTCCAGTTTTGCTATATGTTCAAAAAGACAAGTCATGTATTTCCTTCTGAGGACAATGGAAATAATGAGCTATGGTTGTTCCTAGTGAATAGATACAGGCATGACTAACTTCTAACCAGATGGACAGCTTACAATTTTTGTTGACACTCTTAAATGCCAATCATTTAATTTCTAATTCCCTGGTTAAGGAATCACTATGTTCATTAAAAGGTATCTACATTTTTGTGTGACCAAAATCTACCTCCATTCACGGACCCCAGCATAATTAACCATAGACCCTAGAGAAACTTCAGTATTTCTCATCCTTTTCCTTATTTATAGAAACAAAAATATTCCATATAGTATTTTTTTCTAAACCTTTACTTACTATAGATATGAATACTTAGTAAACTAGAAAAGAAATTCTATAATGAGGTCTCTCTATTTTCACTCACCTTTGTTTCATATTGAGATCACATGCTCCTTTACTGACATCTCATGCTTTTTCAGCCATCTCATCTTCTCCCTTCAGTGTACCAACATTATGTTCTACAGCATCACTCACTCTAGCAGTTTGACTGACTTTTCTTTCCATGTTTTTACTGAACTCACCACAGCACAGAAATCTCACAGTACCATCAAAATACAAACAGGCAATAATTCAATATATTAGAACCATGTACAAAGATAACCAAATCTTAGAGCTTCCAGGCAGCAGAAAATTTTAACACGATGGAATTTGATATTACATCAATTTGAAACAAAAGTTTTTCAAACTACCAAAGGACAGAATTTTTGGGAAACCATATGTTTTTGAAATAAAATTTGTCGTGGGACAGAAGCTGAATAAAACAAACATTAAATTCTACTCAACAGCTGTGGAGCTTCCACGATCAGCAACTGCAGAGTATATGAACCAACCTGCATCAGGCAAATGAGAGTATCAGAACTCTACCCTTGTAAAGCAGGGAAACTTGCTCAAGAGACAATGGTGTGGTCCCTAGTTTCAGAGAAATGTCCCACAAACACAGGAAGCTTGGACAGCATCTCACTAGATGGATGATAGGAAACCTGGCAAAAAAAGGGTAGAAATTTGCTCTGCATGCTGGTGTACTACAGTTTGTGTTTCAGTGCACCGTTCTGTACTTAATTGAAAATGTATCAAAACTGATAAGGTGTTGTGGAACATTTCTGAGTTTCAATAGAATTTGTTTCAACAATGAGTTTGCTTCATTCTATTGAGCCAAAACTGAGGGGGAAAATAAGCAGAATTAGAACTAACAAAGTTTATTACTTCTAGAGAAGACATAGTTCTTCTTGCTTACCTACTCTTCCAAATAGTGAATGAATACTAAAACTAAAATCTATTTCATTACATTGTGGCATGTGTCTGTCCTTTCAAAGTTCATCTTCTGCTTGCTTACAAATGTTTTTAAAATATAAACTTGTATCTTCCCAACTATAGGATCAGCCATCACCAGTTATTTTCAAATGAACGGCTTTGTGTGAAGCATGCAGAACTGTATAAAGACTACATGAACCTTCCCTGAGATCTTTTGAAATACATGTTCTTCTGTATGTATGAGGTCCATCACGTATCATTTCCGTGCATATGTCACTACACACTTAGTAAAATCCTTTCATAATATTCTGACCTTCCTCTTTCCTTATTATACTCACTCATTCCTCAAAATCATTGCATCAGTAATTTTAAATCCCTCATCACATTACCTACCTCAACCTCATCTCTGTTATTTGAGAGCTTTATATAATACCCTCTTGAAATTATTTGCCTACAATTCTACATTTACACCATAGCATCTGCATAGAAATATTTAGGTTTTCCCTTTATGGAGCTGAGATTTCCCCATCTCATCTTGGAAGACTGCAAATACGTGCTTTCCAATATTTCTGATTTTCTGGTGGTGCACCCCTCTAACAAATGCACATCAGATTCATTCACAGATGTGTTATGAATTCTGTTACAAATCAGCAGACTTTTATTTTCTACTGGATGATGGTACAAGATGAGTACTCTCTTTATCTACATACACATGTCTTCAAGACATGATTTGCAGACAGGATCAGTTGCTCATTAAATCCTACATTTAATTAATACATTGTATGACCATCTTACATCGCAAAGAACAAAAATATGCGTGTTATTATTGAGCATAAAATTACTCATGTATTTAAATCTCACAATAGCATTCAGATTAGAGTTCTTTGATAACACAGCCAAACTGGTTTACACACTACCTGGATATTAAAAGGCTAAGAGAATGATGGCCTACAGTCCTTGCTGACCAAGGGCAATTAGAAGTACACAACATTGTAACTATAAATGGAATATGGTGACAATGGTGAACTGAAGCAGAGTGAAAGGATGATTTGTGATTTGATTTAATATGGAGGTGGTGAAGAGGTCAAACTACTTTGCCTAAAAGTAGCTAGCTGGGAAGCAAGAAGTCTGTTTCATAAACTATTTAGAAACTTCCAGATTCATCATTCTTCAAATACAGAATATGATCATCTAAACATTTAATTAAATATACTTATATATATACAAACACACACACACAAGGAGCCCTAGCTTCAAGCCTCTTCCTTGCCAGACAACAGCAGCAGCTCCTGCTTAATTCTGGTTTTGCACACACCAAACAAGTGGTCAGATCCCTCAGATACCAGGGTTCCTTGTTCATGTGTTTGTTTCAGGTGAGACTGAAATTGTGACAAGCAGGAGGAGGGACTGGAAGAATCTTTCCAGTAAAAAAGCTGGATGCATAAGGAAGAGCTACCTATGCAGGAATAACATAAACACTGCAGTCAATATCAGCTCCACTAAAGGAAAAAAGTATTTCCTAAGTAAACAAATCAATTCTCTTGTTGTTTCCAAAGATTCCTATGAAATTACAATTGTCAGTTCTCAATAAACTTAGGAGTTCAGGATTATTTGAACAAGGTAGTCATCAGACAAAAGCTCTGCAACAGAACATATCATGGCTGATGGACTCCATTACATTTGGGGTTTGTTTTGGCAGTTCTGGGGGGCTTTTTAGGTTGTTAGGTGTGGGGGGGTTGTTTGCTTGTTTTAAACACAAATCTGAGAGCAAATCTTTAGGTCTCAGCAAGCCAAAAACATTCTGTGTCTCATATGAGTCCTTACTACCTCTTTCGAGAGGCTTTGGCAAAAAATGTACAGTGACACCCAAAAATGTTTGAGGTACAAGCTGAAGGCACAAAACAAATGGAATAGGCTGTGCACATCTGGACAAAGTAATAAATGGCTTCTGAACATGCTTGCTTTCTGCTGATCTGAGTGATTGAAGGGGCATATAGTACTCACTGATGTTGACATAAACCCAGCAAAAAAGTACATCAAAAAAAGTCAGTATTATTTTGGTTGTTGGCAGAAAATATGAGAAGCAAGATATGGCAAAAAAGGCACATGGCTGAAACCAGCCTCTGTGATATCAATTAAGAAAAACGTAGTTCAAATACACAAGTTATTTTCAAAAAGTTGCAGAGACAAATATTTGCAGGGGTAAGTCACAAAAATAATAGGAGGAATCAAGGTTTAAAACAGTGGTGTGGACAAAAAAAAATAGGAAAGGGCATAAACAGAAAAGCATGGAATCATAGGATAATTAGGCTGGAAAGGACACATCTGAAAGTCTTCTAGCCCAACCTGCTAATCAGAACTGCTCGACTGAGGGTTGGTTGCTCAGACTATTCAGCTGAGTTTTGAGTATCCTCCAGGATGGATACTCACAGCCTCTCTGAACAACCTGTTCCAGTGTTTGACCACCTTTGCAGTATACTTTTTGTTGGTTCTTGTCCTTTCACTACACACCTTCAAGAAGAATCTGACATCTTCTGTACCAACCTCCAGTGTAATAGTTGATGGCAACAATGAAATCTTCCCTTAGCTTTTATTTCTTCAGGATGAAAAAAACAATTTCCTTCAGCTTTTCCCTGTCCATCACATGCTCTAGCCCCTTCATCATCTTGGTGGACCACCACTGGACTTGCTCCAGTACACCATTGTCTATCACAACATACTCCAGATGCCACCTCAAAAGTGAGAAATAAATAGCAGTGGCTATACTCTTGCTAATGCAGCCTAGTATGCAGCTCACCTTCGGCGCTGCATGAGCACACAGCCACAGCTGCTTCATGTTCAAGTTCTTGCCCATCAGCATCCCAGGTCTTTTTCTGCAAAGCTACTTTCCAGATGTTCAGACCCCAATTTATACTATTGCTCAGGGTTATTCCATCCAACATGCAAGATTTTGCCTGTGTTGAACTTCATGAGGTTCCTCCCAGACTACTCCTCAATCCTACTGAGGTCCCTATAAATAGCAGCCCTGCTACCCAGAACACCAACCACTTCCCACAATTTGGTCTCACCTGCAAACCTAAGAGAACATTCTACCTCATCATCCAGAACATTAAGACAGACCTTTAAATGGTATTGGTCTCAGTACCAGTCCTTTAGGCATGCCACTAGTGATAGGCTTTCCAACTGGACTTTGAATTGCCAGTCACAATCCCTTGAATCTAACAGGTGGGCCAACATTCCACACATCTTTTTGTCCACTTATCCAGTGCATATCTCACTAATTGAGTTACAAGGATACTGTGGGAGACTGACAAAAGTTTTGCTAGAGTCAAGGTATTAAACATCCACTGCTCTTTCTTTGATCACAGGGCCAGTTATTTCATCTTAGGGGGCAATCATGTTGATCTCATCAGGCATGTATGGTCTCAAACTCATGCTTGCTGTTCCAAATCACATTTTCCTCCTTCTTGTGGCTGGGAACACCTTCCAATAAAATTTGCTCAATAACCTTTCCAGAAAGTGAAGTTAGGCTGATCAGCTTATAGTCCCCAAAGTCTCCTTCTTGCCCTTGCTTAAAATCAATGTGACATTTGCCTTTTTCTAGTCATCAGGAACTCCCACAATCATCATGACCTTTCAATGATGATAGAATGGCCTTACAATGACATTAGTCTCCTCTCTCAGCATGATCGGAATGAATCCCATATAGTGCCATGTATTTATGTATGTCCAATTGCCTTAAGCACACCCTAATTCTATCTTCCCCTGTTGTGGGTAAAGCTGCACTCCCACAAACTCTGCTACTAGACTTGACTTAGTGACTTGGGTAGCTTGAGAGCAAGCCTTACCAACTGAAGAGCATTATTAGATGCCCTTCAGTCCACAAGGACAGATCCTTGAGCCCAGTCTTATTATGGATGTATAAATTATTTCCTTGCTTGGCATGTGACCTAGTAGAGTGCCCAGCCTACTCTTTGTCCCTCTCCTGGGACAATCTAAGGACCAAGAAGCATAAAACTTGTTGTAGGCACACAAATGAAGGGAGTGACATGATGTCACACCCCTACCTGGGATAAAAACTGAGAACTTGAGATCTCTGGGAGATGGCATTGAAGTTACTTGATGTGTATCACAGAGTCTGAAGTGCAAGTACAGGAGGGGAGGAGAAGAACACAGTATGATGACAGGAACAACTCACAACAACCTTGGCCACTTTTTCTATCAGTGTATCTCCATAAATAGATGTTATCCAGCAAAGACTGCTATTTTCCAGTATTTCTGATTATGAGTGACTGTGACCACTTCTTCGAATATCACTGTTTACTCTTGAAAGTGAATTAAAATCCACATGCTTCCTTTGGACTGACATAAAAATTCATGTGCCCATAGAGATGTACAGTGGAACTAATGATCAAATTTGATTCTTTTTGAAGCAGGGAATGTGCCTCATGAAGAAGAATCAGAGACACATGCTCCATTTCCAGAAAAAAAATAATCCATAAATCTTGCTGGGACAATACAGTTCTGAGAAAAGCTGTGCTATGGGACACAGCTACCTGTACAGCTATTTTTCACTTGTTACAGTTATTTATTCTCAATCAAACAGGTTTCATAACCATGCAAGACTTAATTACCCAAAAGCACAGCGTGTCTCTATTGCATAAATCTATCACGATTTACTTTACGCATTGCTGTTCTATATTTTGACCAACAGGCCACAGGGAGATTTTTCTTTGACTCCACTGAAGTCTACACTTCCCCATCTTGCTTTTAGAGGAAAGAGAGCAAGCCTTCTATTGCCACATACTATATATGTCTCTTTTCATCTGGTGCACCTAATCACACTCCAAATTGTTAAAAAGATTTAGCTATTATAAAATTTTCAAAAAGCTACAACAGTCAACAGAAGAAAATATAATTTTGCAATTTCTTTTGGAGAACAAATCTTGTTTACACACTTGTGTGTGTGCGTGTAGTACATATATTGTAGATATATGTATTTATGTAAAAAATCCATTCAAAATCAAGCTTAAAAATTAAATTTCTCCAATATCCAGTACACAGGAAGCACTATATTTCATTAAGGCTTGTTGCCTCTGTTTTTACTACTTCTGTTTTACAGGTCATTGATTATATTCTCTTCAGTCACTGTACTTCTATTCTGCCTTTTCTTTCAGTGTACATTTAGATTCCTTCAGCAACTCTCAGAGCAGTATACCTGTTCTGCTGACACTGCCCCCATAGCTTCAACAGTATGTGTTCATAAATCATAGTTTTGCATTGCCTGATCCACTAAAAAAAAAAAATCTGTTATTCGGACCAATATTAACAGAATATATTTTACACATGCAAAATGGCAATGTAAACTAAAATATCAAATCATAATCTGTATATGAACAAAAAATTGTGCATGACACCCACATTTCTTCTATGTTTTAATTTATTTACCTGGAATTCTATTCTATGTATAGATGACAACATAGGGTATTATTAAATATTCATAATTCAAGTGAAAGTAAAGCAAGAATCAAACTCTTCTAACATATATATATCTAGCCATTTCAACTACTCATAGCTTGCTTTCCATTTTCATCTTAATTCAACAGAAAAACATACTATGAGTTTGGAAATATGCATGAATTAATAATGTAGTGAAGCTTTCTTACATGACTTGGACTCCGGTGACGGCGGAGAAATGTTGGACACGGCAAGGTCACTCTTTGACTTTTTAGGTTTTTTTGCATTTACCTGCCAAGGTTTATCATAACTTCTAAAATCTCTCCTTGTTCCTTTATTTTCTGTTAAAAGAATGGAATCAGGAAATTATAACATTTGTAGGGTAATTTTTCAAAGATTTTAAATGAACAATTAAATCCAGAAAAAAACAAGACCTATCATCCAAATCAGTCAACTCTTTTTGTTCTCCTGTTTCTAACTGATCCTAAATTTGACATAATTTTTCCATTTCCTAAACATAAAAATTTATAAATTCATTAGTATGTTTTTCATTAAAACATGTCTTATTTTTTGTTAGGAAGAAGACCTTAAACTCCATTTATTCTTTTACATGTTTGACTACCTATGCTTAAAATTTAACATTTAATATAAATAAAAATTTGATTTGTCAGGCAATTAACATTTTGAATATCAGCAACTATTCAAGATCTACTATAGTCTGAAACAGATCGTAGGTCAATTTTTAAACACAAACCCAACATCCTAATAGTAGCTTGTACCAGAATATCAGAGCTAAAATTTCTACTTTAGGATCAGAGCAGATATTATTTCAGAAATGGTTTAATGCTTCTGAAGATCTACAATCATAAATTATTCACACTGGAGTTCATAACGTAGCAATAGCATTAAGTGTTGGAGTGGTGGGTTGTTAAAAATGTACATTATCAAAGAAAATACCTCAATAGAGGCTAATCTCAGGTGCAAACACACCACAGAAAGGAAAAGGAAAACAAAGCAAAGAGAAAGTGAAAGCAAAGAGGACACCGGGGGAATCAAGGGATCTTTATATGCACCTTCTTTCCCATTGAGACTGGGGTTGTTTTCACCCTGTAACTCTGACCCATACTCACATGATACGTACAGATAGTCAACGACATATATGAAATTCAGTATCTACTGGACAAACAGGATTTATTGTGCATGTTCACAACCACAGAGGAGCACCTGTTCAGTAGGTACATGTGCATCCAGGAAATCATGGGCGAAAGTGTGGGAAGATTATACTGGAGACTAGCCCCTTCCAGCACACAGAACATACCTGATGTTTCACTCTCTGCCCAAAGGGCAGCAGAGCCAGACAACGTTCTCTGAAGCTGACTGCGGTTCCCCTGTTTGGACTGAAGATGATCAATTAGAAATGGGATTGGCTGGTCAGGTGTCTCTGTTATCAGCTTGGTCATCAACTCCTTTAGAAAATTAAAACAAAACAAAAAAAAAAAATTAGTGGGATACTGCACCTAAACTAATCTTATATTTACCAAAAGTAGAGGAGCATTTATAGAGGAAAAGCCTGTTTTCAACTTGGAAGAAAACTGCTGGAAACACCCCATCTTCTCAAACTACTGCTAGCTTTGTCCTACGAAGTGTTCATGTCTGAAGTGCTCATAGACTATATAGTCGCTTATCCATTGGAATTTACGTTAAACAACCCAACTCCTGCTACCTACTCAAATTCACCCACACCAATCTGAATACTGTTCGTTTAACCATCCAGAACAAGCACTTTCTCAGAGCAGCGAGTAGCTCTTCTCTGACCCATACATCCAAGTTTCTTCTCTTTGGAAACAGGTGTATCAGGACGGTTGGTGCATCTTTGATCTCTCCCACACATGGAGCAACGATCTGGTTAGATTATGCATTCATACCTAGAAACTCAGATCTGACCAAACAGGCAGGCATTTTTTTTAAAGGAAGTCCTCCAAAATAGTTTTGTATCGACATGGGCAAATATTTTATTACACTGTTGTAGACATGGATGCAAAACCAATGTCAACAGGAAACCACCTTCTACGCCATGCCTTGATACTCTCTAATTGCAGTCACACACCCTGGGCTTGAAGGGCTGCAGAAAGCACAGCACTCTCCACATGGCTACTGAGGTTCCTCCTGGCTCCCCACACATACAACACAGGTCAGGAATCCAGAAAGAAGCTGTGGTTCTGTGCTGGGCGTGTGCCCTGAGAAGACATCAGAGGTTATTGTGGGAGGTGACACTGAAATCAACATAGTTCCACAGGAAATCTGTGGCTGCTACTGCAAAATGAAAAAGCTCCGTGGGAGTAAACAATTACAGGAAAGTACAACAAAATCAGGACAAAAAACTGACTAAATTATTAAGGGCATTTATTTTCTTTTCATCTATCCCCAACATAAATCTTACCATAACTTCCATACACTTCAGTCTATCTCCACTTCATCTTTTCTGTATATCCTCATTTAATAAATAATTTTTCAAATACCAGTAGTTACTTGGTATTGCCATCAGTTAATTGTGTAGGACAAAGACACTTAAGAAGGAGTATACAAAATAACAGTAAACATGAGTAACAGCACACAGGGTTATTAAGACACAGCAAGTTATCTTTGTTCACTCCAACATTTTCCATTCTTTTTATTCAAGCAGTGGTATAGACAATTACGTATAAGTGAAAATAAGATAAAAATAAGCTTTCAATTTCAGAAAGAGAAATTAACTTCAGAGAACAAAAAGAAGACATGCCCAATCTTGTGTCTTGTGAATACATGGTCGCTTGTGACATGATTTTTGATAACTATCTACAGGGAACAACAGAAAAAAAAGTGTCTTTAGTTTTGGAATGGAACTCCTCAGGGGGAAATTCAACTACTTACTAATCTTAGAAATGGAAAAACTATCAAGTGTAACTTCATCTGGACTGTCTCCCACCAAAGTAGGAGAAACCCTCTGATATACATGACAGAAAAATCCAGAAATTGGAGTAATTCTTATTTTGGTTGCTTGGCAACACTCTAACAGCAAACCTTCCTTTTTTTCCCTGCCAAAATGCAGAATTAGTGACAAGTGGAAAAATGTAATCTTGTGCATGTAATGGACCACAATAGCTGTAGGAATTCCACTGCTGAGGATTCTATTAACAAAGGAAAAGTGTCAAACTGTAATAGCTGGCTTGTAATTTAAATAATTTCTCTGAATTACGGTTTGAAAATTATTTTTTCTCTCTTATATTAATAAAAACAAGATGATGGAAACTGAGATAGATACATTGATACTATTAATTTTTTAAAGACATACATGGGTGACAATCTATTCATAATATATTACAAAATTAATGTAGCATTGAATAAAGGTAGTACAGAGATGAAAAATTTTAGAATGCCTACATGTCAACGTAAGAGAAGTGCTCCTTGATTGTTGTTATGACTGACTTGCTTGTCACAGGACAAAACGGCCTTTAATTAACAGAAATAGACCTAATAAAATAAAACTGATTATTGGATTCTTTACCTTATTCTGAGACATAGTAATAAAACTAAAAAACATAATTGCACAAAGAAAAAAAAAAAAAAAGTGCTATTCCAAGGTGATGTGAAATAGCTTCTATTCAAAAGGACTGCTTTTTATCCACTGTTAACATATTGATAATAAGGCCTGAGTGATATGAAGATCTGTGCTGTCCCAGAGCATAACCAGTTCCATTCTATAACATCAATTAGAAAGTTGAAAGAACTATAGATATGGGCTACTTTTATCTATCTGGAATAACGTTTGCGTAATAAGTTTCAAACTGATTTGTCTCAAGCACTTTCAGAGATCTCATTAAAAGTAACTACAACTTCAAATCAACACAAAGGTGACTCAGATTACAAAGCCTGCCATTTAAAGAAGACATAGCTCTTTACTATGAATATTCCATTGCAAAAGGGGAGTGAATAAGATCTTAGGGATTTGCTTCTCAAGCTGCTCCAAGCAAGGTATGAAAGTGGTCTCCAACTTACCACGGCTGGGTTCCCAAATTCTGCAGAATTTAAAAACAGCTCCACCCCAACCAGCGATAACAATAGCAGTGATAATAGCTTCAGACATATGCTCTATGTAAATCCACATTCACATGCAGGTGTTATCTCCTTCCACACACACTGGCAAAGATCCCAGAAGTAGGATCAGACCTCCATGATCCTCACTGCCTTTGCCTCCTACCAAATTCTGCCACCCAGTCCATTAAGAGACCTAACTCCATCTGCTCAGTCCCCAACTCATGCTCTTCAAGCTCATGCTTCCTTTGAGACACTTGTCGTCCCCAGCAAATTGGCAATTACAAGGAAATATGTTATCCCCCTGTGTTCGGTTGCTTGTGATGGGGTAAAGAGCTGGGAGGGGCAAGAGAAAGAAAAAATAAAAAACAAAAAAACAACAACAACAAAAAAAAAAAAAAACAACAAAACAAAACAAAAAAAAAAAACAACCAACCAGCAAAAAAAGCAAAGAACATCACTCGGGCAGTAACTGTACTTGGTGAGCACTCAGCTCATTTTTTAAGTGAAAACATATACTTCACTGGAGTCGAAGAGGCATTACAGATTAGGAATGCCTATTAGGGGTATTCTCATCTTAGCACCATTCCCTAGTAAAACTATCTTGAACTTCTGACGAAATTATCCAAAATGTATTTGATGCTCTCATGTCACACAGATAACATCTTACAGACAGCAAGAATAGCTTACTACATGGTACTCTAAGTATATTCTTACAAGTTTGAAATGTTTCAAAAAAGAAGATGACAAAAGTGAAGGCATTAAATAAGAAAAACTGAAGTGTACAAGTTACAAAAATAAAATTTCTTTTTTGTTTAGCAGCAGTCTGATCTGACTCACAATGTGCTAAGTAGGCAAGGTTTCACAAGAAAAAGAAAAGGAAAAAGACCAACTAGTCTCAATGAAGCCGCCTCTGCGTTAACAGCAGAATAAAAATGGCACAAGATCATTGAAACTGAGATTCATTTCTTGATGAAAAATTCAAGAGACAAGTTTCAACTGTGCATGAAAACAGAAATGCAAGACACATATCTCTTAAAAATATCAACTATACTTTTTGCCTTTCTAGCTCAAATTTCTAAGTTTTCTACTTGTTCTCAATTTCATCTAATTCAAATAAGAAAAACAAAAAGTTTTGTCTACCTTTATAACATGTTCTGCCATGGACAGTATGCTTACAACAACAAATAAAAAGTCATGGCAGACTGGATCTCCACGCTGCCAGATGAACTGTTTGTTCACTACTCTGGCAGGTGCGCCCGCCCTGACAAAAAACGGGGCTTTCCAGCCGTTGAAACACAGTGGCCACCGGTTCTTTTCAGGCCCTTGCTTCCGTGCCTTGACGGTAACTGTCGTCACGTACACAGCCACCGGAAAATGGGGCCCCCGGACAGTAAGAGCTGACATGACCATGTACAAGCACAGGTCGGATTCGATTAGGGTATATATGGAATCCCGCCGCAGGGCGAACAGCCAGTCCTCCTCTGAGCAGCAGATCTGCAGTCAGGGGTTTTCCTCTTCGGTTGGGAAGCCACCTAATGAAACTCCTCGAGGTTGAGACCCCTTATCTTCTAGGTGAGTGATATGCACATTTTGAGGCATCGTTCTAAAGTGTAGGAATTCTTAAATTGGCTGAGTAGTATTAGTTCCATTTGACAGACATCTGAACCTGTAGTTTAATAATGTTTGTTGGAATGCTAAACAATATTGATTAGAATAAGTACCTCAAGTACCTGCCTCGTCTATTTTGAGAGACTCTGTGACAACTACCCATCTCTATCCTCTTTCCACTGTCACGTCTTCCTATCACTCCATGTCCTTTTGTCTCTTCTATCCGCAGGACTCCCCTCTGCTTCTCCCTTCCAGCTCTATAACAAGTGAAGGAGCCTGTTCAGATGTCAGTAGCTATTAATTCCCTGGGCACTCACGAATTTTATGCAGCACATAAAAGGCAGAAAAAGGAACTTCCATGATTACTACAGACTAGAGCATCAGGGCGGATACATTCATTTCTGCTGCTTCCCCACTGTATTGCCCAAAATTAGGTTCTGCCCTGATCAGAATGAGAAAAAACAGGCAGAAAGGTGATACAAGCTCCAGAAAAACTGGCAGTTAACTCCTCCAAGGACTTTACTTCGCACTGTGCAAAACGGAAATTAAACCAGTTATTCCTACTTTCTTCTGTAATGGTATCTTCATATGCTTTTACATTCACTAGTTTTATGAAACTATGTAAGATAGACTGTTTTGAAAAAAAGACTTGCAAAAGCTGATCAGTCCATTTTCCAAGAGAGAGATTCATGCACATATTGATAAGGCTGCAAAAGAACTTGAAAAAAAAACAGGTCTAAACTAGCAACTTAATATATTAATTTTAAAGAGAATATCTTTCACT